GGTTGAATCGGGTTGAATCAGCGCTCCCCGAGCTGTCTGCGGCTCCATCCAGCTTCGCGACCTCCTGGGGAACCCTCAAACCCTAAACCCTAAACCCTAAACCCAACTTCAACTCAGAAACCTCTGGGGCGGTTCTGCCCAAGCATGGGAGGATGAATACCTGGGAGCAAGACCTTGCGCGGCTCTATGAGATCCTGAAGGACCGCAGAGGTCTTTCTTTTAAACGTCGTACTTAGGACTTAGGGTTCAGGGGCTTAGGCTTTCGGAAGTGAGGAGAACCCTGTAAACTTTCCCAAGTCGATCTCCTTCGGGATCGCTGAAATTATTCAATGACGAGGCATACTCCCTTCTTTTGGCGTCTATAGCCCTAAGCCCTAAACCCGAAACCCTACAATGCCCAAGACTCCTTGGGAAAAAAAACCCTAAACCCTAAACCCTCGTTGGCGCCCGATATTCGCTCTTTGGAGATGGTGCTGCAGAAACCCTAAACCCTAAACCCAAAGCCCTCCATGCGACTCCGGGTCCAGGGCTTGAGGCGTAACGTTTTAGGGTGCGCAAGGTGTCAAGCGTAGGGGTTCTCAGGGTTTGCAGATGAGAGTCTTAGGGCTTGGATAGAAAGGTTTAGGGTTTTGGGTTTTAGGGTTTAGGGTTTAGGGTTTAGGGTGTTGCAAAAAGGGTTTAGGGTTTAGGGTTCAGGGTTTAGGGTCTAGGGTTTAGGGTTTAGGGCTTCGTGGAAGGATGCACACACCCCTGCGGCCATGCTGAACCTCAAAGTCAAAGACATGCAGAAGGGAACCTTCGTGGGCAAGGCCTGGTCTTGAAGGGAGGGGGGGTTTAGGGTTTAGGGTTTAGGGTTTAGGGATTAGGGTTTAGGGACCCTTGGGGTTTAGGGTGCAGGGTTGAGTACGGTTTAGGGTTAGGGTTTCGGATTTAGGGAGTATTTGGCATTAGGTTGACATATGTTGGGCTAGAAGGTAGATGGGGATAAGCCCGCTCTGCTCTGACTTGGCGGCATCCACGCAAAGCAAAAAAACTGCATGTACGTATGTAAGCCCATTCTGCTTGGAGAAGTTGGGTCTGATTTGTTGGGAGCTGGTTTCGCCACCTTCAAGTCAGAGTCGTTTTCCGGCGCTGCGTTTATTCACGAGCGGTGCGCTCGGACAGGGAGGCAGCAACACCAACTTGGGTTTGGGGTTTAGGGTTTAGGGTTTAGGGTTTAGGGTTTAGGGTTTAGGGTTTAGGGAAGAGACCACAAGGGGCGTCAAAGTTCTGGAAGGCCCACAGCATCCCTGAAGCCCCAAAATGCCCCAAAATGCCCCAAAATGCCCCAAAATGCCCCAAAATGCCCCAAATCCGAAGTTTACTTCCGAAACCCTAAATCCCAGGCATGTGTACCCAAAAACCCTAAAGCCCCGCGCAACCTGGAGTCTTTGCGAGCCTGAGGCCAAGTGCGGCCCGCGAGTGCGCGAGCTCGCTCGGAGGTGGCGGCCTCGGAGGGGGGCGCCTGGAGGGTTGGATTCCAGGTGTTAGGGTTTGGGTTTAGGGTTTAGGGTTTAGGGTTTAGGGTTTAGGGTTTAGGGTTAGGGTTTAGGGTTTAGTAGGGAAACTGAGACGGGGACCTCGAGTATAGATCCTTGTCCCGTTATTCTTCTTTTGGGGGTTAGGTTCCCCCCCTTTTCAGCAAAAAGGGCACCTTAATGACGTACAAAGATAGCTGTACTCATATAGCTATAGGCATTTTATTGCCGCTTCTTTGTTTGTCTTCAAGGTCCAATGATGCCCTAGGTTTTGGAGTTTGTCCGGGTGACCTTACAGGGCTTTCCGTGTTTCCCCCAGCAGAGCAGGCCCAGGGTTGAGGCATCCGCGCTATCCTCACGGAGTAGTGACGTAAGGAGGTTTTTTTTTGGGCAGTGGTGCCGTGACCCCGAACCAGAGGTTTCTTAGCAGCTTGGCAAGCAGGTGGCGCCATGGAGCCTCAAGGATCTGCTGTTGCCTAGGAATGTGGGGCTTGCCAGAGACAGAGAGAGGGAAAGAGAGAGGGAGAGAGATAGAGCGACCGTTCGAGACTCCAGTCTCACAAGTCCAGAAGTAAAGCGACTCAACCGGTTCCGACCAACGAACTCGAGACCTGGGGCGCGCGGCTGGGACAAGGAAAAGAAGAGAGAGGGAGTTTTCTGGGGGCACGCGTGCAGCCAGGAAGGAAGGCAGGGAGAGAGGGAGGGAGGGAGGGAGGGAGGGAGGGAGGGAGGGAGGAAGGAAAAATGAGAGAGAGAGAGAGAGAGCTCGAAGGTCAATACTCGTCTGATGCAGTCAAGCGACTCAACTGACAAAGCTCAGGTTTGGAGAGAGAGAGAGAGAGAGAGAGAGAGAGAGAGAGTGGGGGGAGAGGGACTTCGCGGCGAGGCACAAGCTTGACAAAGGAGCAGCCACAAAGCTGGAAGAGGACAGACACTCAGGGACCGGCTGGGTTAACCGTTGAGTATATTCGGGTTTTGGGGTTGAGCTTTCGGGGTTTGGGTGTCGAGTTGTTGGAGCTCGGGTTAGGGCTGAGCTTGCAGGGTTCGGGTTTTGAGCCTCTGGGGGCTCAGGGAGCTTCGTCGCGAGAGCGGGCTTCACGCACGTCTGCCACAGGCGATGTCGATGCGGGAAGCGATGGGCAAAGACGTCGAGAAGGATTAGGGCTGTTTTTTGTTTTTTTTCGGAGGAGGGGTGTGTGCGCTGAGTTTGGGGTTTGGCTCATTGCGAATTGGCCCGAACCTTTGTCTGAAGCCACCGATGCTCACATAAGACACACACGCACGCACGCACGCACGCACGCACGCACGCACACACACACACACACACACAATTATAATGAATGAGAAAAATACGTATATATGGATACACAGGTTGCTTATGTACTGCACATGTGTACACATATGCTTTGTTCAGGACATCTTCCTCCTGGATGAGCACCTAACTGCTTCCAACAAGCCCTCGGCACTGATCAGCATGAAGCTCTGGGGCCCAGACCGTGGATGGGGGGAGCGTTTTAGGGTCAAATTAAATCGAATGTATTTGAAGATGGAATAAATATTCCTTGTATGTTTTTGAATCAATTACTATTTCCACCAAGATTATATTCAGGGCTTGGGGTTTGGGGTTCCGGGTCATGTCCTAGGGTTTTGGACCCTTAAGCATTTTTAAAATGCTAGGAGGTACGTGCAGTGCTCGGGCAAAGGTTAGCCTTCTGGTTGACAGGTGATTGTGCTGGTGTTGGTGGTCACCAGTGGCTTTCGCCCCCTTGAGGCTGGACAGCTTGCGAAAGGGCTACAACATCGGTCACTGCATCTACAGCAGGGAGCCAGTGCAGGGAAACACTGGCCCAGGCCGGGCATCGTGGTGCGCCCAAATTGTTCCAGTCGGACCTTTGGTAGGTTTGGGGTAGTTTGCAACTTGTTGATCGTCCTCCTGGTGTGCTGTGGACACTCAGTGATCGAGGGCTGTGTTCCCGTAACCCTTAATCACTTAATCCCCAAATCTTTCGTGCACGTGCATGTCCTGCACCTGTCGTGGTGGTTGTAAGATGCAACTGTCGCACTCGCTTTTGCAAGCCGGCCCGCTGGCGCAGAGGGACAGTGGAATCTTCCCGAGCCGTGATTGCAGAGCACTGTCATACTTGTCAGTAAGCAGGGTCCCCGCGCCCCCTCCCTTGAGAACTTCGCTGTGGCGCATAGCCAGTTCACGGTCTTTCCCTACGCGGGAGCGAAAAAAAACCCTAAACCCATGAGTTTAGGGATCAGGGAGCCATAGGCCGAGAACTCAGGGGCTGATGCAACGCGAATTGCAAAAGGGTGGTTAGGCAGATTGGGGAGTTCAAGTTTGAGGATTTAGGGAGTTGAGGGTTTAGGGTTTAACCAGGTATGAGCGTCAAGGTTTAAGGAGTTGAGGGTTTCCTAAATTCTGAGCCCTCAACCCGAAACCCTAAACCCCAAACCCTAAACCCTAAACCTTACCCGCCAGGGTTCTGCTTTGGGCCAGGTGTGGATGGTGTGGTGGACGCTCGGCTGCCCAAGCGGAGTTGCCAGCTCCTGGTGCAAAGAAGGGGAAAGAGGGTTCCTTACCAATGTAGTAGAACTGCCACTGGGTTTGGGGTTTAAGGCTTAGGGTTTTGGGGTTTACCCTAAACCCTAAACCCTAAGCCCAAAACCCTAAACCCTGAACCCTAAACCCTAAACCCGGTTTAGGGTCTAGGGTTTCTGCTGCTTTATTCCTGCAATAGCGGCAAAAAAAGGTCGCAGCACCGGCTTCTGTGCGAGATCCGGTTGTTGCTGGCAATTGCCCAGCAAAGAGTCATATGAAACAGGGTTTATATTCCTGTTATTGGTGAGTGTATGTAGGGCCCCTTTCTTCATACCGGTGAGTGTACATGTTGGGTGTCCTTTTGAGGTTCCAAGGAATAAAAACGCTGCGTCATATGAGCTGGGCACCTTGTTGAACGGCATCTCCGCAAAGCAGGCAGAATGTTTTTATGTCTCTCCGACGCCCGCAGTTCTACATTGAGGGACTGGCACCCTTCCAGGATAAGAAGCGGCACGTTCGCGTCCTCGGCTACACAGACGCCGACCTTAACAGTCGCTTCGCTTCTTCCGATGGCCGCAGCGAGGACTGGTTTAGGGTTTAGGGATTAGGGTTTAGGGTTTAGGGTTTAGGGTTTAGGATTTAGGTTTCGAGCGGTTTCCAAAAAGTAGCTTCTAGGATCCGAGCTGAACATGTTCCCCCTTATACTTACAGTCCTTAAGTAGGATTCTAGTAGGGGGTACTGCGATCCCTAATGAGGAGCTGTTGGTATAAGGGGGAGCATCCCAAGTTACATTGCGGCTATGTGGGGGTTTACGAAAAGAAGGGACCCCCCAATATAGACCCCTAAATAGTAGGATTCCCTTATAATCAATTTTTAAGGACCCCAATAAGGTACCCCTAATTTCGGAAACCCTAAACCCTAAACCCTAAACCCTAAACCCTAAACCCTAAACCCTAAACCCTAAACCCTAAACCCTAAACCCTAAACCCTAAACCCTAAACCCTAAACCCTAAACCCTAAACCCTAAACCCTACACCCTAAACCCTAAACCCTAAACCCACATTGCGACTGCTTCCGTCTCTTATTCAACATGCAGGGTGCTGGAGGATGGCTGCTTTAAGGCTGGAGTAGCAGGAGAGCAGTCGTACCGTCTTCTCCCAGGAGGGCACCCTTGTTTAGGGTTTAGGGTTTAGTTTAGGGTTAGGGTTTACCTGGGGTTCTAAAGTACAACCCGAATCTTGTCCCAAGCCCCACCCACAACACCTCAATCTCCCCCAAGAGGGGACGGTTCTCCCAAGTGGTGGTCCCGTTGGGTTGATGGGTATTGAGGCCTCCTGTGGCCTAGATGAAGTAGTCAGGGTCTTTCTGGTGGTTCGTGGTGCGTGAACGACGGGCTCCTCACAAGATTTTGATGAGTTTGTATTTCGTCTGGGGACGCTCGTAATCAAGGAGAACCCTGCTTTTAGATACATGTGGGCATGGTGGGGCCGCGGGGGGGGGGGGGGGGGGGCAGCTTAAATAGGGTCTATTTGGAAGCTGGGAATCGTATTTACAAGAGGAAAACAGGCCCCAAAACGTATACTTATTCACAAGAGCCATGTTCCAAATAGACCCTATTTTAGGTCCTGTAGGGTTGCACAGACAGAATTTAATTCATTAAATTCCTTAATTTCCACTTTCCCCTGGAATTTAATGAATTTAATCAATTAATTCAATTAATTCATTTATTTCCAAAGGGGGGGTGGAATTAATTGAATTAGTTGAATTAATTGAATTAATTGAATTAATTGAACCCCCCCTTTGGAAATAAATGAATTAATTGAATTAATTGAATTAATTGAAATAATTGAAATAATTGAATTAATTCAATTAATTCAATTAATTCCACCTCCCCTTTGGAAATAAATGAATTAATTGAATTAATTGAATTAATTGAATTAATTGAATTAATTCAATTAATTCAATTAATTCAATTAATTCATTTATTTCCAAAGGGGGGGGGGGTGGAATTAATTGAATTAATTGAATTAATTGAATTAATTGAATTGATTCAATTAATTCAATTAGTTCAATTAATTCAATTAATTCAATTAATTCAATTAATTCAATTAATTAATTTATTTCCAAAGGGGGGGTGGAAATTTAATTGAATTAAATTTAATTAATTGAATAATCAATGAATTCAATTATCATTTATTTACCAATGGGGGGGATTCCCCAGAACCCACCCCCCAGCTCGATTGGCCAAATTTTGCCGGAGGGCTGCCCGGCAAAATTGGCCCAAATCGAAGCCGCGCCTTCGGAGGACACGAAAATGATTTAAACTATCCGGGGCTGAATTTGGGCCAAATTTTGCAGGGCAGCTCCGCAAATTTGGCCAAATCGAGCCACGCATTTTCTCATTTCGCATACGAAGGGCAGCCCGATTGGCAAATTTTGCCCGGAAGTGCCCGGCAAAAAATTTGGCCAAATCGAGCCGGATAGTTTAAAACCTTCTCGGGCCGCAGAAACAGCGCGGTCGATTTGGCCAAATTGCCCGGAGGCTGCCCGGCAAAATTTGGCCAAATCGAGCCGCGCATTTCTCATCGCGTTCGACGAGCAGCCCGATTTGGCCAAATTTTGCCCGCAGACTGCCCGGCAAAATCTGGCCAAATCGAGCCGCGCCTTTCTGGAGGCCCGAAATTATTTAAACTATCGCGGCTCGGTTTGGCCAAATTTTGCCGGGAAGTCTGCGGGCAAAATTTGGCTAAATCGGGCTGCTCGTCGTACGCGCTGAGAAATGCGCGGCTCGATTTGGCCAAATTTTGCCGGGCAGCCTCCGGGCAAAATTTGGCCAAATCGAGCCGCGCATTTCTCATGGCATACGAAGAGCAGCCCGATTTGGCCAAATTTTGCCCGCAGGCTGCCCGGCAAAATTTGGCCAAATCGAGCCGCGATAGTTTAAATAATTTCGTTCAATTAGTTCATTAATTTCCGGGGATTCCCCAGCCCCCACCCCCCCCCTTTGGAAATAAATGAATTAATTGAATTAATTGAATTACTTGAATTAATTCAATTAATTCAATTAATTCAATTAATTCATTTATTTCCAAAGGGGGGGTGGAATTAATTGAATTAATTGAATTAATTGAAATAATTGAATTAATTGAATTGATTCAATTAATTCAATTAATTCAATTAATTCAATTAATTCAATTAATTCAATTAATTCAATTATTTCCAAATGGGGGGATTCCCCAGCCCCCACCCCTCCCCCCCTTTGGAAATAAATGAATTAATTGAATTAATTGAAATAATTGAATTAATTCAACTAATTCAATTAATTCCACCTCCCCTTTGGAAATAAATGAATTAATTGAATTAATTGAAATTCAATTAATTCAATTAATTCAATTAATTCAATTAATTCAATTGATTCAATTAATTCATTTATTTCCAAAGGGGGGGGGGGTGGGGGCTGGGGAATCCCCCCCATTTGGAAATAAATGAATTAATTGAATTAATTGAATTAATTGAAATAATTGAATTAATTCAATTAATTCAATTAATTAATCAATTAATTCAATTAATTCCACCTACCCTTTGGAAATAAATGAATTAATTGAATTAATTGAATTAATTCAATTATTTCAATTAATTCAATTAATTCATTTATTTCCAAATGGGGGGTGGGGGCTGGGGCATCCTCCTCCCCCCAATACTAAACCACGAGCCCGGGCCTCCCCCCAATACTAAATCACGAGCCCGGGCCTCCCCCCAATACTAAATTACGAGCCCGGGCCTTCCCGCAATACTAAATCACGAGCCCGGGCCTCCCCCCAATACTAAATCACGAGCCCGGGCTAAATCACGAGCCCGGGCCTCCAAATTACGAGGCCGGGCCTCCCCCCAATACTAAATCACGAGCCCGGGCCTCCCCCCAATACTAAATCACGAGCCCGGGCCTCCCGCAATACTAAATCACGAGCCGGGCCTCCCCCAATACTAATTTACGAGCCCGGGCCTCCTCCCAATACTAAATCACGAGCCCTCCTCCCCCAATACTAGGGCACAGTTTTTGCTCCAAAAAGTGACATCGCAAGCCCTGGTCCCTAAGATTTTGAGCTCATTTCTTGCCCCAAAGAGTAACATCGCAAGCCCTGGTCCCTAAGATTTTGGGCTCATTTCTTGCCCCAAAGAGTAACATCGCAAGCCCTGGTCCCTATTATTTGGGGCCCAGTTTTTGCTCCAAAGAGTCAAATCGCAAGCCCTGGTCCCTAAGATTTTGGACTCAGTTTTTTGCTCCAAAGCAAGCCCTGGTCCTTAAGATTTTGGGCTCATTTCTTGCTCCGAAGAGTCAAATCGCAAGCCCTGGTCCCGAAGATTTCGGGTTCAATTTTTGCTCCACAGAGTCAAACCGCAAGCCCTGGTCCCTAAGATTTGGGGCACAGTTTTTGCTCCAAAGGGTCAAATCGCAAGCCCTGCTCCCTAAGATTTTGGGCTCATTTCTTGCCCAAAAGAGTGACATCGCAAGCCCTGGTCCCTAAGATCTTGGGCCCAGTTGCTCCAAAGAGTCAAATCGCAAGCCCTGGTCCCTAAGATTTTGGGCCCAGTTTTTGCTCCAAAGGGTCAAATCGCAAGCCCTGGTCCCTAAGATTTTGGGTTCAATCTTTGCTCCAAAGAGTAACATCGCAAGCCCTGGTCCCTAAGATTTGGGGCCCAGTTTTTGCTCCGAAGAGTCAAATCGCAAGCCCTGGTCCCTAAGATTTTGGGTTCAATTTTTGCTCCAAAGAGTGACCACAGTCGGCCCTGTGCCCTGTCTTGGGGGGGTTTAGGGTCCCCCAGACCCATACGCCCCTTTAGAAACAAAGAGGGCAACCCTTTTCCTGGGTTTTGGAGTACTGTACTTTAATACTTTTTTTGGGTCTGAGTTCCTATTATAGCTACTTATACCTAAAAGGTATATACTTTTTTTCCAGGGTCTACTCCAAAGGTAGGTTTCTCATTCCTAGGCTACTCTTGTGCTTGGTAGCCCAGTGGCACCCTTTACCCTTTTTTTGGTTATGGGTTCCCTTATAAAATAACCAACCCAGAAAAGGGGTGCCCTTACTATAATATGGTTGCAGGGCTACCAAGTGTGCGACTTCAACCGAAGCCCCAAGTGCCTGCTTCCACTGGCATCCAAAGCTCGAAAGTTGCGAATTATAGAACTCCATTTCATAACCCCCCCGTATTCTACCAATTGCTTAGGAGCCCCCTCAAAGTAGCGAAAATCTTCTGCCTTATGAGGGCAATCTAGCGATTAGTATCTTTCGATGATTTTTGGGGAGGGGCTCTTAGGCAAATAGCAGTACTTGAGCGTCAGAATACAAAAAACCCTGGGCATAATTGCCCATTTCTTCCCGAGCTTCCGGGATCCCCCTTGCGCCCTTGCGCCCGAATTTCAAGCACCTTGTGTACCCCTCGACTCTAAACCCTAAACCCGATGTACTATCGCAAGCTCTGGTCCCTAAGATTGGGGGCCCAGTTTTTGCTCCAAAGAGTGACATCGCAAGTCCTGGTCCCTAAGATTTTGGGTTCAATTTTTGCTCCAAAGAGTGACATCGCAAGCCCTGGTCCTT